AGCAGCAGTAGCAGCAGCAGCAGCGGGAGCTGGAGCAGGAGCAGGAGCAGTGGGCCTGCAGCAATTTATCACATAATGGGTGCTGACAGTACGCAAACGTCGATCTAGGTTATGCTTCCATCAGAGATGTCCTTGAAACCGTCCGCAGACTAGCGCCATGCAGCTCTTCTTGGTTAGAGCCTGAACCAAAGGACCACTGCGATATAACACTTCCGAGCGAAAGCAACCAGCCTCCACGAAGGATAACACCATAACCTCCTGCTTGTCGTCGCCAACATTGCGTTTCTTCCCGAGGGCGAAGCCCAGCTCATCCAAGAGGCAATGCTCACCAGCTGTCCTAAGACGAATAATTTCACCGCCACATCAGCATCACAACAGTGCACGACCTGCCTGCGAGTTCGGCGATTACGCAGCACAGCATGCACGTGAGGCGCTGCTTCTGCACCAAGCGTGATCACCTCATCAGTTCAACCGGACGCTTGCTGCCCCAACACGCAGGTCGTGGATTGAAATCTATATAAGGCGTCCACATCCAGGCTTCGTGGAAACCACACCATGCCCCAGACGACACCCTCCGGGACGTTCTGCTCCTTACGGTAAGGTCGTAGCTCAGAACAAATACTCCCTTCAGCATGACCCGCCAAGAACCACATGCCCAATCCTGTGCTGACAAGGAACGCATCGCTTGAGAGCCGGCTCCACGGCATTGTCGACGCCGCCACTCCTCCATTTCTCTTCAAACTCCCACCCATCAAAGAAGCTCTCGGCCTGAGTGCAAGCACATGAAGCACACGAATGGTCAACAAGCGAAGCAACAGAAAGACATTGAGGCCAGCACAGCAACCACAGTGTCCAATTTCTCGCCGGCGGGCGCGCCGAGCGCAGCACGTGCTGACAGTGCTCCAAGTAGTCGCGCGCTGCATAGCTCTTCGGCGTGTCCATTGCCTTGCTGCACCATGTCTTCAAGCGACATGAACTGAAAAAAGCGACAGCAAGAGATCCAGAAGAAAAGCACGTCCATCAAACCTGGCTGCCGAATGGGCCAGCATCGCTAAAATCAGCACCACGCCAACATCGTGTCCATCACCAGACCTGTCTACGGAAGAATTTTTTAAAGCGAGACCAAGACCATCTGCTTTTTCCCGTCCCCTCCTCCCTGCTGCTGTATGCATAGGCTAAGCGTTTGACGCCGAATCCCCTCAATCCTAAGCTTGAACCTTTACATATTCCGCTCAAGACCAAGAACTACACAAAATGCCGGAACGACAAGCATCCCTGACACTAACGGCCCTAACGTGCAACCAAAATACACATAACAACCAGACCGAGACCTCACGCCCGAGCCTCTGCCGCAGTTGTACGGCTGCTCATGTTGGCGACAATGCCACGAACCGGCGGATTGTCCAGCTCGACGACAAAGCCGACGAAGGACTCACCTCAAAAGGCAAAGCCGCACGACACAAATACTAAAGGTGAAAGACTGGTCCAAAATAAAACGGAACCAGTGCAGCCGAAAAGCACCGCTCCTTGATGAAAGTCCAAGTCGTCTTGGCTTTAGGCAGGCCTGTGAGGGCCTGGGTATTTAGCTCCTTCAGACTCAAACACTCCGTTGTGCAAAACACTCGCAACAGAACACAGCACAACTTGCAAGACATCCTCAAAATTGAGCTTGTCCACGGAATCCTGCGTCATGTCCAAGAAGCGAAAAAGGCCCGCTGCGTTACCTAAGCGTCATCGGCACTTGCATCCACAAACCTTCAGATAACAGCTCTAGCACTGGCATTGGTCTGGGCTGCGCACACCAAGAGTCAGTGTCACCATCCATATCGCCTCACATGTCCAACACCAGCTCGCAAACGACAACCTCTGCACCAATTGAAAAGCAGGTAACCCTCAGGCAGCAAGCAGCCTCCAGCCATCCGCGAGTTCAACACCCCATCTCGGCTGAGCATGATGGAGTTCACGGGAAAAAGCCTGCCAAACACGTTCCACGTCCACCCCACTGCATGACTGTACAGGCTGTGGACTTTGTGGCACTGTGCAGAGAAGACTCTACACAGCTTAGCTACGCTTCATAACATGCAACTACGCAGCTTGATCACTCGAAGCTCTAGCAGTCCCTATGTCCCAAACTTGCACTGCCCGGAGTAACAGAACCCCACCCGACATCTACAACTGCAAAACAGTTTACCACCAGCTACTCGGAAACCCGGACTTGCGTACACAGGATGACGAAGCAGCGTACCGCACTGCCCTCAACCCAGCGACAACTTATCCAAGCCTTCATAGCCAGGAGGGGGCACCACAGCTTCCAAGACGCAGACGTCTTCAGGACTATGGCTGGGATAACGCCATACCTGAGATGCAGCAATCAAACTAGCTGCCACCTGCCAAAACGTGTGGAAAGAAAGTCACACCCCACACATAGGCAAACCCAAACATACTGCTCATGCTTGAGACCATTAGACAACCTCAGGACAATACGAAATGAAGCAGCCCCCTCTCCCGCGGACATGATTCTACCGAAGGAGTCCTTGCAGCCTTGCAGCAACGAGCAATGGAAAAGCTTGAACTAGAAGCATCCAACACAATCTATCTCCGCCGGACTGCCTTCTACACTACAATGGCTCTACCTGACTCTACAATTTTCCGAAAAATCCTCGTTGACACAAACACTCCAAACTTGATAATGGCACATAAAAACACACACCCTGGCAGACGAGCGCGCTAAGGATGAACAGACAAGCGACCGCAAGAAAACTCAAAACAAAAACACGACGTAACAAGCGAGGTGTTCAATCAGTAGCAAGAAATGACATGAACACATCAGCAGAAAAGCCAAAGAGCAGAAACCAAAGAAAAGAGACTACAAAGCGACCAGGATGACCCCAAGAAACGACGTGCAAAAAAAGAGATGTGACCTCGCCAAGGCACAGCGATCCGACCCTCAGCAAATCTGCCGTCGCCGACGATAACGCACTGGTCGGGCTTCAAGGAGAAGTCCGGACCAGTGAAGTCTTCGCCGCAGCAGGCAAGGACGCTGCCAGACTGGCCATTCCTGGAACGGGAACAGCAAAACTTACTGTATACTCACACACGAGACCACCAAAAAGGAAAACACGAGTTATGAGAAACTCTAAGAACGTGACCACTGCAGCCGGGGCTTGTTGTGCCACATGTCCTGACAAATGGGGGATCAAAAACAGCAGCCAGGTGACAATAAGCAAACCCACGCGCTAAAACCGTTTCAACTCAAGCAAGAATCACTAAACATCCCAGAAGTCCTCCGTGTAACGAAGCTTTCGGACACACGCTTCCAGTGAAGCACGTGTGCCGTTGCGGAGGTCATGCGGCGACACGTCTGCACCTTAGGTTTCATAGACGCAAAAGTACAAGCTTGACCCTGGTCAGAAAAGATACACGGTATAAGCCGTGTAAAACCAATCTACATCCGAGGCAGCAGCCTTAAGTACCTCTATCTCGGTCGACTCTTCATCGTTAGCAAAGGAACAAGGGAAAAACCCTAAGCATCGACAGAAACAGAGACAGGGAGACAGCAAAAAAGAGAGCGATAAAGGGGAGAAACACAAAAACGAGAAAGGCAGAAAGAAAAAGAGAAAGAGAAACTAAAACAGGCGGCAAAAAGAGAAAAAAGAAGAAACCAAAACAAGAGGGAAATAACAAGGCCACGCCTTGCTGCACATGCTCCAAAAAAGTGCAGCAGAAGTCATAAGACCGAGCACACGACCACTAAAACGTGTCCGTCACACGGAAGAAAGCCGCGGCACTGGGCACCAGCGTAAAAGTGGCCACCCTCTCGAAGCAAGTCCAACCTACAGGAACACCACAAACACACATGTCGAGATTCATAAATGGCGGCTCGCCTCTTCGCCAGGCCAGGGCCGATCAAGATCAAGCCGTCTAGGAGGTCGATCTTCTTCTGCATCCAGCGAACAAAAGGAAAAAGAGAAAGAGAAAGAGAAAGAAAGAGAGAGAGAGTGACAGAGAAAACATAAAAAGAGAAAAAATAAGAAGAGAAAGAAAGAGAGAGAAAGAGAGAGAGAGAGAGAGAGAGAGAGAGAGAGCGAGCGAGAGACTCGCACACGCACGCACGCACACACACACACACACAGACACATCAAAAAGCTCCTCGTTCAGACATTGCTCTGTTGTGAGGAGCTTGACGTTGCACTCGTCAGCATTAAAAAGTTCCCTCTGAACTTGGCGTTTCGCCAAAAGAGAAATGCGGGCGTACGCCTTACACAGAACACGCACCGTGAATGCGTTTGCCCAAAGATGCATCGCAGTCCAGCCTTCTCACAACAATCTGCAGCGTCCAAAATCAACATGGCCGACGGAGAGCACGAAATCGAAGACGGCGAGTAATAAACGCTCTGGTCATTTCAAACCCCTAAGCTCTAGCTCGGAGCCCCTCCATCCTAAACCCCTGCGCCCCAAAGACTAACACAGAAAAGCCCCAGAACCCGAAACCACTAACTGCCACATCCACCATACCGGGCATCGGGTGCTGCATCTGTGGCTTGTCGACGATGATGGACCCATATACTACAACGAACCTATACCATTAGATAACTATACTGCAATATAAGTATACCACAATGTAACTATACAGCGACAAAAAGACTCCTAAACCCTAAACCCTAAATAGACTGTCATATACTTACTTTATGTTGTATGATTGCTACGCATCCGTTTGATGGGGCCTTGGGTTTTTTGGGTGGAGACATGGAGGTTGGGAGACATAGATCAAAGCCACGAAATGATGTAATGTCTTGCCGACTCTCTCTCTCTCTCTCTATATATATATATATATATACACACACATATATGTATATGTGTGTATATATATATATATGTCCACTTATCTTATACACACACATATATATATATATAGACACATATGTATCTTGTACCATAGAATCGCTATTTTCAGTAGGGTTGTTGTAATTTGCTGTAATGTAGTAAGCTTGTCTGTATACTATAGTATAGTCTTGTAGAGTAAAGTGGAGTATCTGAGAGTATAGTATGGTATATGTTACACCCTGAAGGCCCTGAAACCTTCACCCAGGCATGGAATTCTAGCCCTAAACCCTGGTCTAGGAGTTCAGCGGAGCATCTTAAAGATGTTCGGATCCGTGCAGTTGGGCGGACACGCCAGTCGCTCTTCCCATGTGGGAATAGGGAACTGGATACCTCAGTCAGCTCCACTATATAGGGGCCTGCCTACGGGATGAAAGTATGAGAGGGACCAGGCAATGGAAACTCGGGCCTTGGGGTGAAATATAGTATACCTATGTATAGCCCGAAACCATAGGTATATCGCGAACTCGAAACCGAACCTATTTCCAAAAAAAGAGAGTTGTAGGACGCGCCAGTCTGACTTGGTGTATACGGCTTCCATACGAAGAGCCATCGCCGGGCCATCCGAGACCAACAGGGCCTAATGGGCCTTTGGGTTTCCCATACGATTTCGGATAAGGGTTTAGGGTTTAGGGGTTTAGGGTTTAGGGAGGCTACAGCTTCGATATCGGATCTGCTAGCGCAATGACAGGAATACCATTCCAATAATTATCGGCAGTCCCATCCCAACTACATTGACCAGCCTGTACTACCGAAATGGCCAGCATCTTGCAAGCCATTGGGAATGCCATCTCAACATAACCACAGCGTAACTAAACCCTAAACCCTAAACCCCTAAACCCCAAACCCCTAAACCGGTACTTATGCGCTGGGATGCATGCTCGACCTTGCCTCACCTGGCACTCACCTTGCTAGGTTGGCCCTTCAAAGTGCCTGAAAAATGTTCGTAAATTTGATTCTCTTAAGCCCAATAAGGGAAAATATGAAATGTCCCAAAGGCCGTCTAGCTTGACTTGGCAAACCCTAAAACCACTGAAACCCCCAACCTAAACCCAAAGCCCTGAACGCCTAAACCTCTCCGATAGACCCCCCAACACCCCCAAAACCCCTAAAAACCCTTAGAACCCCCGAGATAGAAACGATCTTGATAAGCTGCGGGATTCTGCCTTATCCTCGGGCAGCACGGAAGTCTGATCCTTCCCCTTCTGCACCTGAAAGTTCGTTTAGAGTTTAGGATCAAAGGTGAAAGTTCTCTACACATTAAAATGGGGGGCCTCAACTCCTCAATGATTGGAAGAAGGTTCCTGCAGAGGGATGTATAATCCACGGGGGAAATCGGATAGGAATCATCACCCTCGACATCCTCATCATCGCCACTCTGTCATTTTGGTAATGGAGTCGCATGTGCTGGCAAATGAGCCTGAACACAAAGAGAGACAAAGAAGTTTAAGTAGAGGGAGTGAGCCAGGGTGAGAGAGAGAGAGAGAGAGAGCGAGAGAGCGAGAGAGAGCGAGCGAGAGCTTGAAAAACAGGTTTCAGACAGGCAAGTGGATTGACGAGACAACGGACAGGCAGATAGGGAGAGAGAGGAAGCAAGAGCGCACGCACTCGTACGCAAACACACACACACAGACAGACAAACACACAAAAACACACAGACATAGCGACACATGGACACCACATGAGGATGAGTTCAAGCCCAGCGAACGAAAAGTACGCTGCGCCTGGATGACGGCAGCCTCGTGCCCAACATTCCTTGCACGGCCAGGAGTACAGAGGCTTTCAGCTGCTTAGCATGGTGTTACCGAATAAGATTTTGATCAATGCTTGGGCTCAATTTACACGCACTGTGGGTGTAAGAGTGTGAGCTTGCACGTGGGGCACTTTGGGAAGGATTCCAGTGATCAGCGGTTTAAGATCGCTGTTGAGGGTTTGCTCCAGATTCTAAAATATCGCCCCTCAGCACATGCAGACCCAAGTAGGAATGTGCTATCATACCGACCGAAAGAAAAATTATGATTCACAGGAAGGTACAAGAGGGGCCTGAATGCGTCGATTAGGGCTTTAAGTTTTGGGGTCCAGTGTAGTACATATCCAAAGAACCCATAGAATAATGAGGAGGAACTCTAAGGAATACTACCCGTAAGTCTTCAAGCACTGCCAGGCATGTCGGATGTCGTGGGCCCATGCTATTGGGTCCTCACATTCTGGTATGAGGGAGTAGGGTTTAGCATCCCGAAGTGTGGTACACACTATGCACTATGGGTTGGATACTGCCCCCACTCAGTAACAGTTGAGTAATATTCACAAAAAGGATATATAAAGCCCTATTATAGACTGTTGCTGTATGGGTACTGGCGAGGCACGCGAGAGCCCACTGGCTCTCACTCCCTGGTTTCGGCTCCCGTTTTGGGCGGGGGGGCAGGGGTGGGTGTTAGGGTTTAGAGTTTAGGGGGGCATGGCTTGTGCTCATATGTGCATTGGTCTGACTCTCGCCTGTGCTCCTGAATCCGCCGCCGGTCCGCCGGTACAAGGGGGGGGGGGGTTGAAAGGAGTCCCGGGAAAAGTATTCTGGTCGCGTCTATCCCTCCCTGAAGCCCTACCTGCTCAAAGGATCATGGGACTTAGTAACTAGGATTATAATAAGTATGGTACTGTAGTTTTTGTGACGTATAATCCCAAATATATAAGGCATATTACAACCTTACTTAGTAAGTCCTGCCTGCATGCACATGCAAGGGAAATCCGACCACCCTGCAGGGTGGTTAGTTGGCCCCCGGACCCTCATATGAGGCCGGCTACTGTTGATGATATAAATCCTGCATTACCTTAAAGACTCTAAACTATGGCATTTGTGGTATATTCCTTATCTAATGCAGGATTTATATCATCAACCGTAGTATATAAGCCCTCTGATCCTGAAAGTAATGCTCTTCATAGACGGGGCGCTGGTTGAACTTGTCGAAGCGGACTCGTCCGTACATGGTCTCTTCCTCAAAAATGCGGTTTAGGGTTTAGGGGCTTTGGGTTCACGGGTTTAGGGTTCATAGGGTTTGCTTAAGTTTAGCTTGTCCGGTGTATGGCGGTTGGGGGGGGGGGGGGGAATGTAAGGTTTAGCTGGTTCCAGATTGCGGGGATCCGGTTGGTAGGGGACACTTGATCTACCTAAGCAACTCGAAAACCTCCGTTTAATTAAACCTAAACGCAACTACAGGTGGGGAGTTTAGGGTATATAGGGCTTCCATAAGGCTTCTATCAGGTATATAGACCTTCTATAAGGCTCCTATAATGATAACTAACCACCTGAAAATGTCCTAGATTTACAGGGGTACTAAGAGACCCCCTACATAATCCCAATATGAAGCCCGCAACTGCTGAGTAGTAGCCGTTTTCCGGTTTTAGGGTTCAAGGTTTAGGGCCTAGGCACAAAGACCGTCGACCCCAACACGCAAGACTGGACACTCACTGTAAACACTAAAACCCGAACCCTTAACCTTAAAAAAACCCTAAACCCTAAACCCTAAAAGGGCTTCAAGCATTGGATGCCAAACGGGTGTGTGCAACTCGGGCTGTGAGCACTTTTGCCTAGGCCTCGTGTCGTCAGCCATGATTAGACTAGGGTTCTTTTAGGGGCTTAGAGTTTAGGGCTTTGGGTTTAGGGGTTTGGGGTTCAGGGCTAAGGGTTTTAGAGTTTAGGAGTTAGGGTTTTGTCGTGGTTCCATAGGCTTTTCGTCGCACCATTATGTCATGTATTCGTCAGGGTTTATAGAGCCATGTATGAACCCAGAGAGGCTAATACCCCTTAAATAAGGAATATACCTTAAATTATAGGGGCCTTAATATTATGATTTAAGGATATTCCTTAATTAGGGGTATTGGGCTCTCTGGGAAAACGAGAGCAACAAGAGAAACATCTCTGGTGTTGGAGTGCCTCAGCCAGGCCCCCAAATGACGAAGATTTTTCACTCTTCCCTAGGGTTGGGGTTTCGGGTTTAGGGTTTAGGGTATAGGGTTTTTAGGGGTTTAGGGTATAGGGCTTTAGGGGGTTAGGGTTTAGGGTTAGGAATGAGCTTTACTGTCGTCTCCCTTGACTTGTCTGGTGTGGTCGCATCAAACTCTGGGGTTTAGCGATCCGCCAAGTCGGTCCTTGCTCGAGGGAACAGCTGCAACTCAATGTTCCTGATGTTCTCCCTCTGGCGATTCAAGGCACGGACCAGTGTTGCAAGATTGAAGCTGATCAGCTTGTCAGCTCCTCTTTTCGCGCCCTGCCGTCGATGGCCATCCTTCTAATTTCTAAAAACGGAACATACAGCCCGGTGGCCACATTCAGGAGAGCCGACCAAGCCCTACAGTCCACATTCGTGTCAGATGCATCTAAAGACCAACGTGAAAGCCATAACCCCAAGCCTTCAAAACCTCGACCCTGACGTATACTCTGAGCACAAGAGCCTAAACCCGAAGCTTTAAACCTTGCAGAGGGCTTCCTACATCCCTTCACTGCCGGCCTCGAAATCTCGCACCATCAGGCGAATCTTCTCATCAAGGTCCACGTCGCCTTGGCGGACTCTTGAACAGTTTAACTGACTAGGGGTGCAGGGTTTGGGGTTTCAGGGCTGCCACAAGCTTCAGGTAGGCATATATATATATATACATACATATATTTATATATATATACATATATATATATATATATTCAGAGTCTGGATATCTGGGGTCCCTGGTCGTTAAGGTTTGAAGGGCAACGGTTCGAAGAGCTCCAATTTCCAGAACAAAGCACTTGAGTTGAAGTTGAGGGTTGAGGGTTGAGGGCTGAGGGCTCAGGGTTCAGGGTTTAGGGTTTAGGGTTTGGGGTAAACCTGTACCCACATCACCTCATGGCATCTGCTTGCGCATCTCCCTGCCTACTGCCCACCTACCGGCCTATCGACCTCCCGACTTCACCACCTGCTTCCCTGGACCCGTCAGATGTTTGGATTCTACGGTAGCCAGGCAGGCAACTCGGCGAGTCTCTAACACGGGAGGTGGAATTTCGGCGGAGCTTGATTTTGACCTCGGTTCCCTAACCCCTAAACCCCCAAACCCTAAACCCCAAAAAACCCTAAACCGATTCTAAGCCCCCATTACCCGACACTCCGAAAGAGCCTGGGAAGTTCCAGATTCTTTGGGGGTCCACCATGACCGAAGTACTGGCTACGGTTGATGATACAAATCCTGCGTTAAGGACCCTAAACCCCGGGAATTATGGTATATTCCTTATTCTGGGTAATGCAGGATTTACATCATCAACGTAGCTCTCTAAATTAGGGTCCCTTCCTGTTCAGAACGTTCTCTTTTGGTGACCTAGAAACGGATCCGATTCCTAAATTAGAGAATTCCCCACATCGGGCTTAGCAGAATCCCTAAAAAAAGTACCCTAAATAGTAGGATCCTTATTATAAGGACCCCAAAATATGGTACCCCTAAACCCTATTTTCTGAATCTCCCCAGGTGGCAGGAGCACTGCAGGCTAGAGTTGTCGAGCGTTGTGTAGTTTCCCCAGGTGACCTCCGTGGGGAGAACTCCAGAGAGTAGGGGGCTCGAGCGTCTGGGGTTTAGGGTTTAGGGCTTTGGGTTTAGGGTTCAGGGTTCAAGGCTTTGGTTTTTGTTGGGTGTGCAGGGTATATACGCTTCTCGGGTGCTTGATTTGCATTCAGCTCAGGATGTTCAGGGTATGTATATACCTATGCGTATGTGGACGTGCAGGTCTTGGTGTACGTGTAAGGGGTAGTTAGGGGCGTGCATATCGTTGTGGTGTCAGTGTTGTTGGTGTATAGGCTTGGATGTAGGTGTAGGCGAAATGCAATCTTAAAGTTCGAGACTGAGCTCTAAAGTCGAAATCTGAACCCCTGCTATACCCCAAAGAACTGCTTCTGAATAAGACTCTCTCGACATTAGGCTTTAGGGTTTGCCTCTGCAGCCCACGAAGGGAAAACATATTCTACTCAAGGGTTTAGCTACAACCTGATAGCACCGCTTGCTTGCGTGTGTCCGAACCCGAAACCCTAAACCCCCAAACACCTCCATGCGTGTGACCGAACCCCGACATCTAACACCGCAGAAAACCCTAAACCCTGAAACCCCCAAAAAACCCTAAACCCTGAAACCCACCCTCGAGCCCCAACCCGGGAAGCTTTATTTAATCCGACGATCCCGGAAGCCGAATTCCGAAAGCCCGGGTTTAGGGTTTAGGGGATAAAGCTTGGGGGTTAGCGTCTCAGAGTTTCGGGTTTCTGCTTTACTCTGACCGCTGAACCCTAAGCCCTAAGCTCTCAACCCTAAGTCCTAATGCCCCGATCTTAAACCTTCAACCCTAAACCCCAAACCCCTATCAAACCAGGGTTTCCCTCTTAGCCACTGGCCCGGCTGACGGCTCTCTCGAGGATGATCCCTGCCGTAGTACAGGATGCGAGGAGGTAGTCCGGATCAGAACCTGGCTCTGGCTGGTTTTCTTTGGGCTTCGGGACTTTAGGGTTTAGGGTGTAGGGCCAGTGTAGGGGCATATATAAGGTTCATGTGCTAAGTAGGGTTTAGGGTTAGGGTTTAGGTTTAGGGTTTTAGGGTGCTTTAGGGTTCAGGGTGCTTAGGGTTTAGGGCGTAACGTTACGGGCGTAGGGCTGGCAGGGCCCAGAGGCTTTCAGGAACGGCTCTCACACTAGTAATGGTAATAGTACACGATGTCCTGATCACATTATTGCCGAAGCTGCTACAACGCAAGAGCCCCAACATGTACAGTGAGCTGTGTTTTCCCTCTAGCCCCTGTATGTGTTTCAGAAACAACAAAGATGGAGGTGGATTTACTTGTTTGTAAGGATCCTTGCGCTAAGTATGCTTCCCAAAAAAGTCTCCTACAAAGCCAATCAAAAGCCTGTATAACACCCTAGACCCTAAACCCTTGCCTGTCGCGTTCTTGAACTCGTTCCAGAAGGCCGGCGTGGGCCCGATCGAGGAGTAGTCGGTAAAGTTCCTCGTGCAGGCTTAGACGTTGTGGGGGTTCCTTTAACGGTTATAGGGTTCAGGGGTTTAGGGTTTGGCTTTTTGGGGTTCCACTCGAAGCGTACTTTACGAGATCTGCAAGGGCTTAGGGATTAGGGGTTCGCGGGGTTGTTTGGGGGGTCTGAGGGTGTAGGCCTAGGGTTTATTTCTTTTAGGATTTTTTCCGTCGCCTGCGCTCCGAAGCCCGTTTAGGGCAGACAAATTCAACTTCCTGGCGCACCTTCAGCTTTCAGGAAGGAAAAGCAAAGCCAAAGTCGAACCCAACCATCACAGGTTGGCCATGCAGCATATGGCGCAGACGATTCTCAACGCCCCATATCGAGAAGACACCTTGAAACCTGTAGCATTGTAGCATGTGCCGGAAAGTCAACCATGTTAGACGACGCCTCAGCATGGCATTGGACTCACAGCCCGTCATTGCAGCTCATTTTCAATCTTGATATACAGGGTCACAGCTGGCTCAGACGTACGACCAGAAAAGTCAGCGTACCCTGGCCCATGAACCCTGACACTCAGAGGTTCCCCCCAAACCCAGGGCTGCTCCGTTCCTGCTTTCGAAACGGGCCCCCTCGACGGATAATAATCACATGGGACTTCAGGGTCTTTTGCATGCAGGCTTTGAGGTTTTGCTTTAGGTATTTCCCTATCGAAACCCTCTGAAACAAGTAAAATCTGGGGGTTAAGGAAACCCCTGTTTTGTGATACTCCCACATCACCACGACGAAACACTGTGCGGCTGAGGGCTCTGGGCTCTGGCATTCGCGTGCTCTTAACTTGGAAAGCTTAGGGTTTAGGGTTTGGGGTTCGGGGACAAACTAACCCTTAGCCCTGAACCCTGTCATTGCATCCTCACCTACACTGAAATTCAAGCAATAACCAGGTGTAGGGTTTAGTTTTCAGGGTCCAAGACTCAAGATCTAACCCCAAAGCCCTAACAAAAAAAAAGACACCTTCGCTCACATTCCAAGGTGCTGGGTGTGATGCCACTGGGAGGGCGCCAGAACATAGTCTCCTGGGCTTGGGGCTTCAAGGGTTTTGGCGTAGATGGACTCGTGTTTTTGGCTTCAGGGTTTAGGGTTTACGTGCTGAGGGTTGATCTCCTGGGCATAGGAGAAGAACACAAGCGACGACCCTTGCAAAACACTGAACGGCTTGCGGATTGAGCTTCGGGGCAACTTAGGCTCAAACGTGAGATTGAAGAATTCCTAAACTCCACAAGACCGGCCACAGCCGGGCAGCAACCACTACTCAAAGACCTCCAGCCATGAGCAGCCTTAGCCGCAAACCCTAAGTCTTAAAGCCACAAGCCTTGCGCTGCTTTGAGCTATCATACCCTGACTGCAGATACATAACATCCTACAAAACAGGTTGTGAACCCTGGAGAACCCAAAACCCTTGCTTCAAGCTTTGAAACAGTTCGATGGTCCCTAATGAAATGACCCTGTAAACCCTAAGCCCACTGCAGCCCCTACATTAAGACTAAAACCCCAAACCCCTAAACTCGTAAACCCTAAAACCCGAAGCCCTACTGTGGTTTAAAGGTAAACCCTAAACCCTAAACCCCTAAACCCTAAACCCCTAAAGCCCTAACCCCTTAACCCTAAACGCCTAAACTTGCCTAAACCCCAAAACCTCAAAACCCTAAAACCTTACAAGCCCTCTTGTAGTTTCAAGGCTTCAGGCTTGCAAGATCGAGGCGCCGTCCGAATTGCCGTTTTCATCGCGCGGGAACTCCACGAGCCAACGTCCCGTGGTCGGCCTGAGCGGACGAACTTGGAGTTTTGGGCCTTATAGGGGGTTTTAGGCTTTAGGGGTTTAGGAGTTTTAGGAGTTTTAGGCTTTAGGAGTTTTAGGGGTTATAGGGGGGTTTAGGGGTTTAGGGTTTAGTATTTGGGGCTTAGGCTTTAAGGGGTTTAGGGGTTCAGGGTTTAGTATTTAGGGCTTTGGAGTGTTTCAAAGGGTGTGGGGTTTCGAGTTAGTGGTGAGGGCATCAGGGTTTAGGGACTTAATGTTAAGCCATAGGGTTACAGAGAGGTTCGGAAATACAAAGCTCTGTTGGCCCTGTGGCTCTTGTTTTCGATACTGCCTCTGTTACTTTCAACTTCAGACATAGTTGGTGTACGGTTTAGGGTTTAGGGTCGGGAGCCGGGAGCCACTGAACAATGCCTCTGCTCAAAATCATGCGCCCTTTTGACACACGGACCCTGTGGTGCGTCGCGGGTGGCTTTCGCTCTTGCTTCACCTACAATACTACCTTAAACCCTAAACCCTAAGCCCTAGACTCTAAACCCTAAACCCTACATAATACTCTGAGCCTGCTTTTGAAGCGCTAATAGCCCTTGAATGTACTCTAGAGTACTAGCGCCTAGAAACACTGGATGCGAAACCCCGGACCCCATCAATAGAAGTTCGAGTTTATGTATTTCTGTTTCTATACATATAACATATATATATATATATACATATATGGTCTAGGGTTTAGGGTGCATATATATATATATATATCTCTCTCTCTCTCTCTCTCTCTCTCGCTCTCTCTCTCTCTATCTATCTCCCGCTCTTTCTGCACATCAGTTCGGGACGGACATCTCAACGACGACCACGACCAAGGGTCGACCAAAGATAAGCATAGACCTGGGGTATGTGCTGGGAACCCAGAAAGCCCAACCATTAAAGGAAACTACAGGTGGCGAGTTTAGGGTATATAGGGTTTAGGGCTTAGGGTTTAGGGTTCAGGTGGTGAGTTTAGGGTGTATAGGGCTTCTATAAGGCTTCTAGAAGGTATAATTATGGACCTTCTATACGGCTCCTATAAGGTTAACTACCCACCTGGACCTGAAAATGTCCTAAAACACCAGCCTTTAACCTATAAACCCTAAACCCTAAACCCTAAACCCTAAACCCTTAGAAACTCTGAGGTTGGGGGTGCAGAGACGGCTTCAGCGAACGGGGCTTTCCGGGTTTAGGGTTTTTGGGCTTGCGGCTTACCTGGACCCCAAAAGCACGTACAATTCTTAGCCTTTTATGGGTCTTGGGCCATTATTCTACTTACTTTTGGGGGTTTAGGTAGAGGGGGGTCTGTAGGGTTTAGGGTTAGGCTTTGGGGCTTCCGGGCTTTAGGTGGATGCTGAAGTCTCCGACAGAAACTTTAGGGGTTTAGGGTTTAGGGTTTATACGGTTTAGGGTTTAGGGTTTATACGGTTTAGGGTTTAGGGGTTTAGGGGTTTAGGGGTTTAGAGGTTTAGGGGTTTAAGGTGCTGAGGCAGCGGCGCGATCAGGATGATGTTTGCGATGAGGTTCAGACGCTCCGCAACAATCGCCTGCCGATCAAGCTGGAGCTCTTTGGGGGTCCTACACCCTACACCCTAAACCCTAAACCCTAAACCCCTAAACCCTAAACCCCTAAGCCCCTAAACCCTTAAACCCGATACCCTAGACCCTTAAACCCTACAACCCTAGGTTGAGGTTTCAGAGCTGAGAGTTTGGCGCTTAGAGCTTGAGCTCTATATGGCTTCGGAATCGGCAGCAGCATCTGCAATCACGCTTCTACAATCCTTCTGTAGCTGCAGTAGCTACCTTCCAATGGCGAAGTCATTACTCAGACATTGATTCAGGGGTCTAGATTGCCCTCCAACCCCAAACCCTACACGCAAAAACAAAAAGCTTAAACCCTAAACTCCAAATGCTAAAACGTCCTAAACAACCCGAAACCCTCAATCATAGCGTTACAGCACGTCGGCCGTTAGGGCTTAGGTTTAAGGTTTAAGGGCTGAGGGCTTAGGGCTCAAGCGTTGCTCTTTACCTGAGTTCGTTGTTGCGTTCACTACGCTCCCTTCATATGGGACTTTCCGAAAATTAGGGTACCTTATTTTGGGGTCCTTATAATAAGGATCCTACTATTCAGGGTACTATATTAGGGTCCCCTATTTTCGGAAGCCCCCTCTTGTAGCACGATACCTCACCAAGTCAAGCTCTAGCGACTCTGGCAGTGGTAAACAGGGTATCACTGGCTCGTAGCAACCCCTGAAGGGAGCCGTATGGGCAAATTTTACAGAGAATTCGTATAGAAGACCCGAGGAGTACCCCAAACCCTAAATCCTACACCCTAAACCTCAAACGGTAAACCGCAAATCCCCTACCTGCCTACCTACCTACCTGCCTACCTACCTACCTACCTACCTACCTACCTACCTACCTACATACATACATACATACATACATACATATGTGTCGCTCTCTCGCGGGGCTGGCAAGTTCCAGAAGAAGACACGACAGCAAGTGCTTCCGCAGCCGCAGCCGGTGCCCATGAAGGCCCCAACCAAGCCTGAACCGCTGAGCCGCAGAGTAGTGCCGGCGGCTTCTCAGGGCCTGCAGGCCGTGGGCTCCTCCCTCAGTACTGCGAGGGCCGCAAAAAGTCGAACGGCAGCGGGCAAAACCTCGATGCCCCTCACGGGTCTGCCAGGATGAGCGGGTAGCTCTCCTCAGAGCCCAGATGTCGGGGAACAGCGCGCGAATTCTCGCGCTGCAGGGTCACCGCCAAGGACTGGGACGAAAGCTCAGTGGCTTCGGCCGCACTCTGGCGGCACGTAGCTCCAAGCAACAGCCCCAGCTTCTTGAACACCTGGATGGCCGTGAGAAGTCTTATTAGGGTTTTGTGATAGCTGCCTGGGGTTCAATATAGTGGCCTTAACAATTAGAATTGCGTTTCGTGCGAAACTACTGCCGAACTTCCATAATAGGAACCTTATAAAAGGGGATACGCACAAATTGCCACGCCACCTTAGCACCTTCCAGTCGAAGAGACAATAGTTGAGGGTTTAGGGTTTGGGGTCTAATTTACAAATTCCGAAGCCCACCATCTTGACAGCTACCATGCCTTGACATCCAACCGCTTAGAGTTTAGGGTTTAGGGTTTCGGGTTTAGGGTTAAAAACATACTACTATATTGGCCTTAACGATTAGGGTGGGGTTTCGGGGCAACTTCATAATTAGAAGAAGGAAGCCCTCAGCCCTCAAGAAACCCTAAGCTTCATAATTGGAATATGGAAGCTCTACACCCTAAACCCTAAGCCCTAAACCCGAAAGCCTTGTCTCGAAAGCCTTGACTGCACAGTTGCAATACTGGGTTCTTGTTAGGGAATTTTTCTTTAAGTTACCATAATAAGGAATCCCTAGTATTTTCGATAGATCCCTGTTATGGTAACATAAAAAAACCCCTAACAAGAACCCAGTAGTTGTAATAAGGAAGCCGAAGGAATAATATATTGGTAAGCATTGAAGGGCCCCTATCTTGCATCTACTCCAGACGAAGAGCCTCCCTAAGCCCGATGCCGTAAAGATTCCTGAGCACAAGCATGGATGCATCTCCCTAGAATTCAATTTAGGGGCTTAGGGTTCATGGGTGAAGGGTTCAGGGTTTCGGGTTTAGAGTTCAGGGGCGAGGGTTTAATTTAGGGATGTTTGGGGTTTAGGTTTAGGCCCGACAGGGGTTGACCGCTCGCGGCCCAGGTGCCTTCTGCAAAGCAATGCCGTCGTCCAACCACGTGCACCCCATCAGCATATCGGTGCCGGATGCCTTGGATAATAAGAATGATGATAGTAGTAACAAAGTAATGATGATGATGATGATGATGACGATGATGATTATGATGATGATGATGATGATGATGGCGGAATCCTTGGCGAGGAAGCTGTCATGAAGCTGGGGCAAAGGCGCGTGGCACCTTCCTGCGCCCTGCGTACCAAGTCATGAGGGGCCGACATTGGGCATTTACGTTGTTGTCCGATGAAGTCAAAATCGACATGGCCACATGTTGGCTGACGGGGACTGGAATCTCCGAATCCATGAACGCTCCCATTATCGTTCTCCCATTCCTAGGTTTTAGAAGACTAGGTTCGCCAGTAGCTCCTACATAATAAGGGTACCCTTTCCTAATCTTTAGTTTTATTGAGGGAAGCAAGAAGAGCTTCAGAAGCTGCTTCTGGAAACCCAATATTCAATATCTGTTTCCGAGACTGCTTCTCGAGGTTCCTGAGGTTGCTGAGACAGACCCTGCAAAGAGCCCTAAGGCCCTAAGGTCCTGTCACACCACATCAAACCGGATAAGCTGAAACAATCTCAACACCGCAGTCCGAAAGACTGCTGCGAAGTCTGCTAAAAGAGTTGACGATGTGCTGAATGTAGAGTTTAGAACCTAATTTAGAATCTAAAGCCAGAGCACCTTCAAGGCTTGCACGCCGGCCAGGAGGGTGTTCTCCCATCCCGCGGTGGCAGTGGTGAACTCGAAGATTTCGCTGTCCTCAACCACCTGAGTCATTGGTCACTAGTCAGTCCTACTCCTCTTGCCACCACCACCACCACCACCACCACTACCACCCCAACGACGAGCGACAACAACACAGACTGCCATGCTTTCGATTGCGACTGCAACTACGGCTATGACTACGACGATGACGACGACCATGACCACAGTACAACAACAACGACGACGACGACGACAACGTTCCATCACCCTGGCACCCTGTAAGCGCGCGCAGGGAGGAGTGACAGCAAGGTGCGTTTCACGTGGCCTGCGTGGGACAAACGACATGTCAGTTTCCAGCAACATGCGTTGTGACTCGTTTTTTTTACCGAGGTTTTTGGCGTGGTGATTTTCGTCTAGACCAGGGAAATTTCCATATGCGTTTTAGTGGCCTGTTTGGGACAAAAGCCACTTTGTGTACGCAGAGTTGGCGAATTTGCTTTGCGTAGCCTTTGCTTCAGTTTTCCGAAAACGCTGGATGCAAATTTTGGAAACATGTGCTTATGCTTAGCGTGGCGTCGTTTCGTTTGGCCTGCATGGGAAAAACAGCACTGCTGACAACACAAACAGGAACAGCAGCAACGAGCACAGCCCAGCAACATGATCACGACCATCATAATCACCATCATCATCGTCATCATCATCCTCACCATCATCGTCATCATCATCATCGTCATCGTCGTCATCGTCATCGTCATCGTCGTCATCATCATCATCGGCATTGTCATCGCTATCATCATGCTAGAACAGAAAAGGGGTTTTAGGAGTGAAGACTTCGGCTTTCTTCAGGTGCACTTCTTGCCATAGACGTCTTTGGGCTTAACGCTGAGTACGTGCAGGCGCTGGGGGTTCATGTTGTAGTTTCGCTAGATGGGTTCTGTAAGGAAACCTCCACATTAGGCCCCTAACCCCTTGACAAGCTTCAGCGCTGAACCCTAAACCCTCAACCCTAAACCCTAAACCCTCAACCCTAAACCCTCAACCTTAAAACCCTCACCACGACTTCCTGCTATGGCCCGGGCGAAGCCGAACGACTTTGCCCGGGCGATCGACTCCCCGCAAGTGAAGTCCGTGAATGCATTCCCTGTTTTGCGGCTGGAGGGTTTAGGGTTAAGGGTTTGGGGTGTAGGGCCTGGTTTAGGGTTTCGGTTTAGGGTGGTTCCTCTAGGAACATATGAAGGTTTAGGGCCATAGGCTTTAGAGTGTTCCTCTAGGAAAAGATACAGGTTTAGGGCTTTGGATTTAGGGTGTTGCTCTGGGAAAATATAAACGGGTGTCCTCTAAGTTGTCCGGTGAGGCATGGATTCTGTAGCGGTTGCTGGTCTCAGGGAGTTCAGGGTGTAAGCTGTCGGGCTTTGGCTAAAGTCATCAGGCGAAAAAAGGTTGAAACGCTAGGGCTTAGCATTGTGCTAGTATGGAAGCCTCCAGCACACATTCGGGGGGAGAGCATGCAGCATGCAGTGTGGGCTCACGATGTTTTGGGGGGGTTGGGGTACGGCTGATGATATAAATCCTGCATTACCCATAATAAAGAACATACCATAGATTCCAAAATTGTGGGTTCTTAAGGTAATGCAGGATCTATCTCGTCAACAGTATTGATGGGAAAGGGCCCGGGGTCAAGTCCGGCAACTAAGAACAAGAACAAAGGTCTGGCGTACACGTGAGGATGCTGAAAACATGTTGCTAAGCGTGGTTTCTGGCCGCGTATGGGATTTCGTGTGCTTCAGGGCAAGGGGGATTTCAGAGCTTGCGCTTGCGCGGGAATCAGAGTTCGGGGTATAGGTGGCTTGGGGCGTTGAATTTAATTTCAGGATGATTCAATGGTTGACTTGGCGGTGGCTCCCTCCAACAGCAACTAACAGCTCTGAGTGCTTTGGATGTTCAGTAGAGTCTATGCTGAAAGTCGTCTTCACGGCCGGATGGTTCATCTGCAACTCGGGGTAAAGCTTCTAATCCCGATGCCACACTTCACTACGGTCTCGGCTGCTGCTGCCACGGCCCTGCCCGCAACCACTTCCTAGATCTGCAAGAAACCCGAAACTTGTATTACTACTGTAGCATGATCGCCAGTATTTGTTGCTATTGTTACATTAGTTACATTAGTCTTACTGTGGGGTGTTACTACTTTTACTGTTCTTATGAGTATTACTTCTGGTACTGCTATTCTTACCATTCGGATTAGTAATTAGTAGTACTCATATTTTCTCCGGTGCCTAGGCAAGTTCGGCAACTTCGCTCACATGCGAGTTTGTCAAGCTTCGGGGCCGGTTAAAGAGGGGGCATCTCCTCGTCCTGCTGTTGCTGCTGCAACTGTAGCCTGCTCTCATGCTGGCGGTGGTGCCACTATATTGTTGCTGCCGCCAGTGTCCCTTGCTCCATAATACTAATAATACTTCTCCCGATAAGCCCTAAACCCTACACCCAAAACCCTAAACTTTCCTAAACCCTGAACTCTATACTTCTCACTAGTGCTACGAAGGCGACCGCCAACCCCACGACCGGTGCGGTCATGAGGGCTTACTCCCAGCTCCTGTCCCACGCCCGCCTGTATTTCTGAAGAATGCAAACTTTCTGCTGGGAAGACGATTCGCGAAGGTCATGATATGCCTGAAGAACAGGGACAGTGTGGGCGAAAACACTCCGAAACGTACAGAGGCAATGCGAATGAAACACATGCGTGCCACTCCCATGAACACCCTTCTAGAAACTCACTGCGAAGTAGCTTAGCTATGACTTGAGTCCGTGAGAACACAAAGTGACACAAACCTGGCCGACTAAGACTAAGGTCTCAGCCCAAAGGCCAATCACGAAACATGCCCATGGCCAACACTTAGCAGTGGCAGTGGTAGTAGTCGTCGTTGTCGTCGTCGTCGTAGAGGTAGTAGTAGCAGCAGTAGTCGCCGTAGTGATGGCGGTAGTAGTAGAAGTAGAAGTAGTAGTAGTAGTAGTAGTAGTAGTAGTAGTAGTTATTAGTAGTTAGTAGTTAGTAGTTAGTAGTTAGTAGTTAGTAGTTAGTAGTTAGTAGTTAGTAGTTAGTAGTTAGT